TCCCTGGTTTGCTGCAGCTGCTTTCTGGAGAGCTCTTAGGATATTTAGGATATTTTCATAACGTTTCATTTCTCAGATTCCTGGATTTGTAGATCTCTCCTCAGCCCAGCTGACCTGTGACACAGGCAGTGCATTCCTGGCTGTTGTGTAAGGCCCAAGGTGGGGAGCAGCAAGGAAGAAACTTTTAGGATGCCTGAAGCCGGTATTTACTTGACTTCCAACTAAAGGATGCCAAAACCATTTTCAGAGCAGTATTTTGCTGCTGCAAGTGGTGATTTTCATTCTGTTGCCTCCTTTAACTGCTGTACAAAGTGTCTCTCCCTCTTTGCTGGGGCAGGGCCCAGGGCAGCCCAGGAGGAGCCAGGTGTTTGTGGGGCAGTGAGGCAATCCCTGGCAACGGATTCCAGCTGTGACTGAGGGATCCTTGCAAGTCAGTGAGAAAGGAAAGGGCTGAGGTGTTGTTTGGCAGAGCCTGAGAGCCCTTGCTTGAAGCTGTCACTGCTGTCCCCTCCTCAGGCCCTGCAGCCTCTCTGCCCTGTGTGGAGCCGTTTTTGGCCAGGTTCAGGCCTGTTCCCTGCAGGTTTGTTCAGCTGGAACAGGAGCCCCTGTGCTGAGGTTTCCTCCTGATGTCACTGAGGAGTGAGCTCTCCTTTCACAGCACACACCAGGTTTGTGTCTGGTTTTTATGTGAAAATTCTGGGTTTGAGGGGCAGCCTGACTGAATCTTTGTAGAGGAAAATAATGTGAAACTCTGAGACTCTGAGCTAGTGGCTGGTGGGGGGAATGGAAGCTTTCTTCTTGGGAGCAGAGTATTTCATTGGATTTTTGGTCTTTCATTGCCATATTTATGGTTTTGACTTTTATCAGTTCCATTTGGTTTCTTCACCAAAATTCAGCCCATAAAGGAAAGATTCACAACTCCAAATCACTCATAAACACAATTGCTGACTCCAGTGACCCCAGGCAGCTAACACAGGCTGGAACTGCCCAAAGTGGGTGGGGAGAACTCCCAGAATTTCCTTTGCAGGTGGCAGCAGGACAGGCCAAGCCCTCCACGGGAAGATGGATCCCTGAACTCGGGGTGGTTCCGGCCCATGGGGGCAGCAGGAGCTGTGAGTTGGTGCCCAGCTCTCAGCAGCCTCTCTGGGATTGCAGGGAGCAGCCCCAGCTGCCCTTGCCAGCCCAACCCAGGATTTGATTCCACCTCCAGCCTGTGGGATGGGGCCACTTCCCATCCAGCTCCTCTAAATGATCTGGTACAGCCTGGGCACTGCTGGGCACAAATTCCAATCCAGTCCTGCCCACAATTACACCATCCCAGGCAACTGAAGTGGATTTTGTGAGCCTTAAATAAACATGACATTGTTCATGTAACCAAATATGTACAATAATCATTTTAGCAGAATTTCAGTGCAAATCCAGCACGGGGCTCCTTTTTCCTCACACAACCAGTGAAACAAAAGCTCAAGAAATGCTTTAATGTCTTTTTTGTTGTTGTTGTTAAACCAGTGGCTTGTTTTAGTTTCTCCACTTAGTGCTTTTACTTTTAAAATAGGAATTTTGGCCTAGAGAACACCCTCAGTTTATTAAGTTTTCTATCTTACAGTGTAACATTTGGGATTTTTAAGTTTGGTTTTCAGACAAGAAGGTTTCTAGCTCCTAATTGACACAGATAAGCGTGACTCTCTTAGGAGCCACTGTTCAGTGTCTCTCAGGCTTGTATGAACATGGGGTTAGAATTTACATTTCCACGATCTTTATCATGGAGCACCTTTACTCTAAAACTTGCCTTGATTCCCTGAGGAGCAGCTTCTCTAATCTGTTCTCTGGGGCCGTTTGCACCTTTTCCCTGTGGCTGGCAGGAATTTTTCTCGCAGCTCCTGGAAGGGTTAATCAGGGTTGGGCTGTGCAGGGGAAGTGGATTCCCACAATGGGGCTCAGGAGGGACCTTTGTGAGCCCGCTTGGGCTCACGGAGCCGGAAAAGCTCCGTGGTTCAAGCTCAGCATTATCAGCTCCACTTCAGGCGTTAAAGCTGCCGAGTGTGGGGCCGTGCCCGATGTGGGGCTGTGTCTCAGGCATGTGGGGCCGTGCCCGAGTGTGGGGCCGTGCCTTGGGAGTGTGGGGCCGTGCCTCGGGAGTGTGGGGCCGTGCCCGAGTGTGGGGCCGTGCCTTGGGAGTGTGGGGCCGTGCCCGATGTGGGGCCGTGCCCGATGTGGGGCTGTGTCTCAGGCATGTGGGGCCGTGCCCGAGTGTGGGGCCGTGCCTTGGGAGTGTGGGGCCGTGCCCGATGTGGGGCCGTGCCCGAGTGTGGGGCTGTGCCTCGGGAGTGTGGGGCTGTGCCCGATGTGGGGCCGTGCCCGATGTGGGGCCGTGCCTCAGGCGTGTGGGGCTGTGCCCCGGGAGCGCGGGCAGAGCCGGGAGCAGGAAGCTCCAGGGGAATTTGGAATTTGCTGCCCTGGAAAAGCTCAGTCAGGGCTGCCCTGGAGGAAAGGCAGCAGCTCAGTTCCTTTGGAAGCTTTTTGTGCTATATCGGATCCATGAATCACTTTCCTGATTCCTCTTGGGCAGTTTTTAAAGTGGAGTCCAGCAAAAGGCAGATTTCTTTAAAGTACACTCAGTCCTATTTCCTTTTGGATGTTTGGGCTCTCATTTAATAATATTTATCCATACTAAATTTATTAGCAAATGCAGAAAGCGAATTATTCATTCAATTTGTACCTTAGTGCTTCTCAGTAGTGTTTCAACTGGTAATTTGAATATAATTTCCTCTTTTCATGTGTTAAACCCTGCTTGTTGTGGGAACCACAGATTTTTTTCTCTTACACATTTCCATCCTTCCTGTGCTGCTACTGAGTCTAACTTTAAAAACACCAATATCTATTTATGCCCAAAGAAATAATTTGTAACTACATTGCCAAACACGGTGTTTAAAACATTTTAGGCTGCTAAAGGTTATTCTTTGATTTTGGTGGGTTATTTATGATTTTGGTGCGTTTGTTTTATTTTGCTTTGTTTGTGGGTTGTTTTTTTGGGGGTAGGGTTTGTTTAGGGTTTTTTTTTTTGTGGTCAAATAAATGTTCTCCTGTTCATGAAATGTCTGCTATAGTTGGAGTTCTTGAATCAGTTTTCAAGGGAGCTGCACCTGTCTGTCCCAGCAAACAATGGTGAGATTTGAGCATTGTTCTGGGTTTATGGACATCCTGTGGGGACTTTGCCTACAACAAGCAAGGTCAAGGCCACTGACTCTGCTGTTCCTGTCTCTGAGCTATTGGCTTGTGCTGACCTCTGATCTACCTCTTTAATTGCAATTGTTAATGAAATAAAGGCCTCCTTCCAGGCTCTATTTACATAATTAATTTTGTCAATTACACAGAGAATTATTCCTCCACCTTTTTAATGTCATTGCAGGTGATGACTGTTTGATTATGGCTGCTCACTTCCTGTCACTCTGACCCCCTCCACATCCTGGGGAAAAAATAAAGGAATCCCATCATAGATCAAAAAACCATGAAGGCTGAGTTTGGGAAAGGGTGTGAGAATTTCAGAACTGAAAAACATTCACAGGAAGAAGCTTAGAGATGCCTAAAACAATTCCTGTCAGCCCCTGCTCCAGGGCACTAAGGGATTACAGCAGCTAAAATCTGAATTTTTGCTTTGGGGTCAGACATTTTACCTGTGTGCTGTTTCCTGATGTGGCACAAATTCTGCCATCAAACAAACAAAAAAGACCAAATATCCTGCTCCATTAGCCTGAAGTGCCATAAATAACTAACAAATATGGTTCTGTAACAATCATGGGTTCACTGAGCACCTGCTGTGCTTGCCTCATGCTCAGAATTATGAATACAGAGATAACATGAGGTTATTTCTGCAATAAAGTTATTTATTGCTACAGCACTACAATAACCCACTGCTCTCTTCCTTGTTGCTCAGGGCACTTACCTGTCCTCAGCCTTTAAAAACTCCTTTACCTGTTCTGGGAAGTGAGAAGGAAAAGGATTCCTGGGACTTGGCCAGTTTTTCATGGAGTTACCTGTTCTCATTTCTGGAAATCCAGTTTGTGATCTGTTGCAAACACCAGGGGAGTTTATTTCTGAACATCCTGTGCCTTTTGGAGGAGGGAGAAGCTCACCATGGTCTCCTTTCCTGACCCTTTGTTCCTGCACACTCCAATTGCCTGTGCTGTTTGTCTGAACTTCTTGTGCAATCTTTGCTGCAGTTTCTTCTGTGAAAATACCCAAATTAGACAATGGTTGGAAGTGGCAGAAACAGCAGAAAATCTGAGCAGAGCAGGCCCCAGCTCTGAGCTGCCAATGAAATGGCACTAAAAGCTGAAGGTGCACTGTGAAATTTGTGCCTTTGTCAAGGAAAAGTCCTTGAGATTGATTTAATTATTTGAATTTTAGGCCTGTGGGGTTATTTCTGTGGGAGAACAGGGTGACATGGGGGGGGGATGGCAAGAATTCCCAGAGCTCTCCCTACCATTAATGAAGAGCTGACTGAGGCAGGAGAGAGTTCAGTGTTACAAGGTAATTTTTAATTCTACTGCACATTTTTATTAATTTTAATTCAGTGGATGCCCTCCCAGGTCATCCCATCCCTTCTCCAGCCAGGAGGGAGCAGCAGCTTCCCAGGGCACCACCTTGTGGTCGTGGTAAAATTTGTGAAAAAAGGAGCCAAGGCCTTAAATTGACTTTGGAAATTAGAAAATGTATTGTATTTATTATGTCAAATTATAAATTCTTACATCTGCAATCTACCAGCCATCTCCATCGCAAAGATGTTTAAATAATTAACAAGTTAATTAAGTTATAACTTGGAGAAAAACAGGAGGTGTAGTTTTGCTTAGTGAAATGGTCAGAAAAGGATATAGCTACAGTATATAGCAAATGTATTGAAAAATAGGTATTTATTAGATATAGTAAATAAGAATAACATGAATATATTAATATATTCAGTTCAGATACAGTTCTTGCTATTCACACACACAGAGAGACTGAAAAAGAACTCCAGTCAATAATTTACATACTTCAGGGAGTTGATGGAAGGTTTTCCAGCTTGATTCTTTCAGAAAATCTCTATTTCAAACGATCTTAACAAAGAAATAAATCACAGATTGGTGTAACTGGAGATAACTTGTTCCAGGGTTGTGAAGCAGTCCAGGAAATCCTCCTCTTGGATTCCAAACTTTGTGTACTGGTGAAGGTAAGCTCTGTGTGTGGAAGAATGGGTCAGACATTAGAAATCAGTGAAGATATTGGTAATTAGTGAAATACCAGCATAATCATTTTCACTTACTTGGAAGCAAACATATTCCAAGCTTTTCCCACGATGCTGTCAAGAGGTTTGAGCAGGAACTGGCTGTTGCTGACCAAAGCAGCAGATTTTTCATACTTGTTAAATGCTCTGGGAGTTTTCCATGCAGTAAAAGCATCCTGGGGGTTTAGCCATGATGTGTATAAGGAGGGATCTTGGAAACTTCCTGTAGCAGAAACAGGACAAAACCCACAGCTGATCCCTGTGTGCCTCATCAGTGCTGTCAGATCAGTTCAGGCCTGGGAAAGCATCTGCAGAGGGGCAGCCTGCTGAAAATACAACTTTTAAAGAAGATTCCTTGGATTATCTAGCAGCACACTGCTGTGGATACTTCAGCTGCCAGCAATGCTCACCACTCCAGAAACAGCTAAATTTATTTTCAGGCATTATAGCCAAGAATTCCAGATATACAGACTTGAGTCTCTTCCTCCTTCCCTAAAGTGCTTCAGGAAACTCAGAACTAAAACACAACAGCCCAAAGCAATTAGACAGTGTAGCTTTGGACAGTAAAATGTTTCTAAAGGGAATATCAAGCTTAGGAGTCATGTGTGGTCTTGGGCTGTTTCCACTTGCCTCAGGTGTGGCTGCAAAGCCAGCAGTGAGATGTGAGACCAGACCCCTGGGGGCTGTGCTCCTCCCTTACCCAGCTCCACGCTGTGCACATCTTTTCCTCTCAGGATGAGCAGGTTGGCAATGGAGGTGTTGAAGTGCAGGGGTTTGTTTGTGCAGGGGATGCAGGAGCCTGGCTGTGGTGGTCGTACTTGCCAGTCAATGCCTTTGGGATTTGGGAAAAGGAGATGGAAAAGAAAGTGAATGTTGTGTGAAATGCAGGTGGGAACTGTCACTGTGCCCCAGGCTGAGACCACACTGGGGTTTGGAGCAGCAATCACAATTCCCAGAGAAACCACTGCTAACCCAGCAGGATTTGCCTGGCAGTCAGTGCCACAGAAAATGGATACCTGCTTCTATACTTAGCAAGGCTCCAGCCCATCCCTTGCATAACTGGGAGCTGTAACTGAACCCTCCATGTAAATGACATGGGAGAGCTGAGCCTGATTTTTATGCATAGAAGGTGTAAAAAGAAAAAGCAGAGCTCCCATCCAAGGAATGCTCCAAATGAGTTATGTAAATGAAGTGCACAGCCACAGACTGTCAGTTTGGTTTGTGTGTTTCCAACAGTTATAATTAACTGAGACGTCTGGAAGCAGAGCAGGAGCAGTCTGGGAGCTGCTGTGGCAGCTGAGGGAATGTGAAAGGAGCAGCTGCTTTGGTGGGGGCAAATTCCTGCTGAGGGCAGCAGCTTCTTTCTGAACTCTACAAACCATGCAGCTTCAGTGCATCTGCACAAATGAATGCTCAAAGAGTGATGGAGAGGGAAGGGCTGGGGTTTATTTACCTTCCTCCATCTGAGCATTGGCAATGAGCATCTGCCTGAGGTGCCTGAGGAGGCCGGGCCAGCTGAAGGCGCTGTAGGGCAGGGAGCTCTCGGCCATCTGGGGGATGTTCCTCAGGCCCAGCAGCCTGAACTCGGGGTGTGGGACCAACGACTCCAGCAAATCTCCTGAAAGGAGAAAGCAGCAGCTGCTCATGCTTGACAAAGATATTGCACAGGGCAGGTAAAATGGGGGCAGAGTGAGGGATGTTCAGATTTAGCAATTTCAAAGCCATGCAAACTTGCTGTGCATTACTGAGTTCTGTACAGGGGGTTAGCAGCTTTTATTTTACAATTTAGTTAAAAAATCTCAAGGACTCTCTCTGCACTCCAGACAGATGTGGAAGTTTAATTTTAGAGGCAATATGGGCAACTTTCTCTAATTATTTCAAGGTACAAATGTCAGTCTGCTGCATGTTGCTACCCAGGTGTCTGCTCACCTCTTTTGCCTGAGTAAAACTCAAAACTCTCACTTTGTTTCAGCTCATACAAACTTCTAACCCAAAGTGAAATGTGAAACTCAGTCCAAAATTCCTGCCCTGCACAAATTTCCTCTGAAATATAAACAGGTACAAGGGAGTCTGTGATCACTTGAAAAAGGAGAAACAGGGTTTTTGGTAGAGAATGAAACCAGAAGTTGGGGGAATCTATTTTTGACTCTGCTACAACATTGGGATTGAACTTCTTTTCCTGTCTTAAAACTTGGGATGTTTCCAAACACTTGAGCAAGGAGGCTGCAGCACTTCAGTTCCCAGTTTGCTGAGCCCAGAAGGGTCAGTGGCTGCTGGGCTGGTACCTAAGGGGTTCCTGCTGTAGCCTGAGCCCCCTCCTGCTGTGTGAGCCGGCTGGAAAACGCTGCCCAGCTGGTGAGCAATGACTTGGTTGACATCCCTGAAGGAAATCTGTTTGATGTTCAGCAGCTGGGCACAGATCTTGTGGATGACATCATTCTCATGGACAAGGAGGGCATCTGACGAGTGGTACAGATGTGAGAGAGTCAAAACAGAGTTGTAGTTTTGAACAATGACCTGGAAGCAAACAAAAAAAAAACACACACAAAGAAGAGTCAAACAATTTAATCTCCTTTTAGTTTATAATCCCCTGGCTCCTGCTGTTTCCTCAGTTATGGTTTAGGAAGTGATTCATTTTCTTTGCCAGAGTGCAGAATGAGGTCAGAGCCTTTTCATGGAGAGAGGGCAAGACCTGTGAAAATCAGGTTATCCATCTCCCTCCATACAAACATGCTGCAACCAGATCTGCCTGGGAACTGATTACAGAGCTGAGATAAGGGCAGATCAGGAGATTTCTAGTTGGCTTCTTGTGAATCTGCATCACTTCAGCAATTAAACCATCAACGGGAATTTTTTGGTAAAAATTCTTTAGCTGTGATACCGAGTCACTTGAACTTTTTCAGTGTAAAATGTGTACCCATTTTAATGTTTATTTCTATTTTTATTTTTTTCTATTTTATTTTTTTATATTTCCCCATTTTATGTCCGTTTCTATTTTATGTTTATTTCATTTTATATTTTATTTATTTTTATTTTTATTTATTTTATGTTTATTATTACCTACTTATTATGCTTATTTACCCCTTATTTAGTTTATTTCTGTTGTAGATATTTTGTTTAAAAGTAACCACTGATTATAAACCTATAAATTCTGTATAAACTATTATTATATATTAAAAGGCAAATGACATTCACCTCCCCAGTGCCATAGGGCCAGATGACGTGGTTCAGGATGAAGGAGGTTGGAAAAGCATCTCTCAAACACTGGGTCACAAACGCCCCCAGGCCTGACCCTGTGCCCCCAGCCATGCTCATGATGGTGAGGAATCCCCCCAGTCTGTCACATCTCTCTGCTTCCCTCTGCACCAGCTCCATGATTGCTTCTTTGTGTCTGGGCCCGTGAGCACAGTACCTGTGGGGTCACACAAACACCAAAATAAAGCAGAAAGGTGAAGTTATTCATAAACAAAATTTACTTTAAGTGCCACAGCTGCTATATGAGCTCCTCAGCCTCCAGAACTCCCCCAGGCAAGCTTGAGCTGTTCCTACCCGTTGGCCCAGTTGTTCCCAGATCCTTGCTTCTGGCAGAAGTGGGAGTGGCTGCTGTACCTCCAGTGGCCAGAGCTGGCAGCCATGGACAAGGCCTGGCTGATCACCTTGGGCTCCATGTCCACCAGCACAGCCCGGGCGGCAGGCACTGCACAGGAGGGAAAACAAAACGGGGGAAAATGCTGATTATTTAATGGGATGATGGGCTTGGATGGGTACAATGGAACAAGGTTATCCCTACCACTCTTAATGGGACAGTACAGAAAGGATCTGGCCATGCCCTGATTTCTGCTGAACCATCTATTGAGCCAAAACCAAATCCGAACACCAGAGAGCACAGATCTCTCATAAAATAAACCATTTGATGTTTTTTGTACTGAAATCAGACCCTGAGAGGGGAGAAAAAGCCCTTTAAAGCTGTACCTGCAGATTGCTCCTGGCAGAAGAACCGTTCCTTGCAGGAATCCTGGTAGGATTGGTTCTCGTTGTTGGAGCACAGCCCGTGGGTGCCACGGCTGTCACTGCAGAGAGCACTGAACACCTCGTGCCCAATCTGGTTCCCACACTGCCCGAGCTGCACCGTGACAATTGACATCCTGATTCACTTGGTATTTAAGCCTGAAAAAGAAAATTATTTGTATTCTCACTTTTGCTTGGTAAAGCAGGATGAGAACAAGTAATTATAACTAGTAATTATTACAGGACTAGAATGCAAAATTGGAAATCTTAAGCCAGTTCAAAACTGTAGCTATTTTCCAGTTGAGAACTGCACCAGGCCTGATGCCAGAGGCAGCTGAGGTGACAAAAGGATTCCCTGCAGAATTCCCCTTGTTCCCACCACACAGAGCAAACTGTTTGACTCCATCCTGCTATGTTTTGACATTTTCCCCACTCAGCATTTGACAGCAGCTCTGCTTTCTCACTTTTCTATTCCTTCACAGAAAAAGGTAATTTTTTTTAAAAACTCTGATGGTTATTCTGGGCTGCTGTTGCTCACTGCCATCCCAGCCGTACCAGCACTCATTGCCATTCCTGCCCGATTCCAGCCCGCGTCGGGTGTTGCTGGGAGACCGAGTCACCCCCTCGCGCAGAAAATAAATAAATAAATGTCTGAATTATTGTCAGGAAAGGCTCATATCCAAAGCGCACCACACCGACCCTCCCATGCCCGATTTTCTGTGTGGGGAGCCTCACTCGGGTCCCCGCGGGCACAGAACCCCCTCAGGGCCGGGCTTCCCTCAGGGAACACCGCCATGTTCCCGGCGCCGCCTGCCCTCACGCCCCGCGGTCCCGAGGCCCATCCCTGAGCCTTTCTCCTCAGTATCCCGTCGCGGGGTCCCGCTGATGTCGGTGCGGGTCCCGGTTCCATCCCCGGGGTCCCTCAGGTCTCACCTCATCCCCGCCTTCCCCCGCCGCGCCTTCGAACGGCCCGCCGGGCGCATGCGCACAGCGCGCTCCGGGTAGACGGCCCGGCCGCTCCCGCCCGCCGCGGCTTCACTGCGCCCTCCGCGCACGCGCCGCCCGCGCGGCTTCACCGCGTGCTCTGCGCAGGCGCCGCGCCGCTGGCGGGGGCGGGCGGGCGCGCGGCGCGCTCACCGCGCAGGCTCGGCGGGGCCGGGGCGCGCGCTGCGCGTGCGCGGCGGGCGCGGGCGGGGCGGGGGCGCAGGCGCGCTGCGGCCGCGCAGCCGGTGATGGCGGCCGCGGCGGCGCTGCGGGGCGCGGGCCCATGAGGCGGCGCAGGCCCCGGGCACCCGGCGGAGCCAGCGAGGGGCGGCGGCGCCATGGCGGGAGTGTTCGACATCGACCTGGACCAGCCCGAGGAGGCGGGCTCGGACGAGGAGCTGGAGGAGGGGGTGAAAGCGGCAGGCGGGCCGGGGAGGGCGCGGGAGGCGCCGCGGGGCCGGGCGGGGGCCGCGCTGGGGCGGCGGCGGGAGCGCGGCGAGGCCGCGGCTGGGGCCGGGCAGAGCCCGAACCGCCCCGGGACAGGCGCGGCCGGAGCCGCGGGCAGTGGCGGAGCTCTCCCCGCCCGGAGTTCGGCGTCGGGAGCGCGGCACAAGCGCCGCTGCGGGGTTTCTTTAATTATTTCTGTACTGTCACATGTCCGAACGTCAGTGCGGGAATGCCGATCTTTCTGGAGCCGGGGAAAGTCGCTGCTCTCGCGCCAAAATTAAAAGGCGAGGTTTGAAAGGCTGCGCCAGGCGGGTCAGCGCTGCGCGCATCCCGTGCTCCGAGCAGCGCACCTGACAGAAATTGCACTTTGCGGCTCGTGATGCTCATCTGGGCCCTGTCAAAGCCTCAGGGAATTCTATTGCATCATCTCTGTTTATGTTTTTCTAGGTCTTGTGTGGTTTTTTTAATGTTGTTTTCTATGTTAACCCTTTGCTGTTGCTCAAACTGCCAGTGCGGGTTTTTTCTGCTCTTTAAATACTAATGACAGTCTTGGAGTCCTTGAGATCATGGAACTGTTTGGATTGGAATGGACTTTAAAATCGTTTGAGGCCATGGGCAGGGACATCTTTCTCTATCCCAGGTGGCTCCAAGCTCTGTCCTTGGACACTTCCAGGGATGAAGCAGCCACAGCTCCTCTGGGCACTCTGTGCCAGGGTCTCCCCACCCTCCCAGGGCAGAATTTCCCCCAATATCTAATCTAAACCTCCTGCTCTTGTGAAAAGTCCCTTCCATGTTTGCTGTAGATTCCCTCCAGGTACTTCCCTTGGAGAGATAAGCAGATATTCTGTTACCCTCACTCCATGGAACCTGCAGGGACTTTGTTTTGACAGCTGAAGGCTTGAAAGCTGCTCAGCCTGCAGGAGGAGACGCTCTGTCTGTCACCTCAATAATCAATAAAACACTTGGCTTTGGAAAACGTTTCTTGCATCACCCTGTTAGTGCTGCCAAGAACAGGTTCTGATCGAGGTGCCCAGAAAGTTGAGTTTGTTCTCTCGTGTGTTCCTGTGATTCAGTCTGGGGGAACAATGGAACCGTTGTGGATTTTAGAACCTTGCCATGACCGACATCTCTATGGACTTTGGCAGCCCTGATTGGTCTCAGGTGCCTTTTGGCAAACAGATAAAGAGGGTGAGAATGGGCCTGGGATGAAAACAACCCAAGGGAAGGAGGGGAACATCAGGAATGTGTGAGGGGACAACATTGCAGTGAGTTGTCTGCCCAAGGTGTGTGATGCAGCCAGAGCAGGGCACATCAAGGGGCACACTCAGGTCTGTGCTGTCAAATTTCTGCTGTTTCCCAAAAACTCTGAGCCCAGGAGGAGCCCAGGGAGCTCAGCTGTGGGTTTGAGTAGGCACAGCCATCCTGGAAAATCTAAAGTGTTGTTTAAAAGGAGTTTCCTCAAAAGCCATGTGGTTGTTTGCACTAATTATTATGGTGAAAAAAGCCTCAGCCTTAATTTGTTTGTAATAAATGAAACAATGTATGGACTGAAGGGCTGGTGGCTTCCCAGAGCCTTTCTTGGTGTTGTGAAGTGAGAAGGAGCCCTGAAAAAATACCAGCATGGTATCTGGAGTGACTTTTGGTTAAATTAATACTGAGAATGGAACCCAAAGTTCACAGAGCAAGAGCAGCACAGCAAACTCTGCCAGAGGCATTGGGTAACAGGAGGAGTTGCTCTGGGAACTGAGGGGTGTTTATTCTCTGGGTTGAATTTTTAAAAATTCATTTGTTGGCATCTAAGAGTGGGGTCAAGGGCAGTTTAGTGGCTTTTGTTGTGAAACATGTCAATAAGCTGGATTTCTCTAATAAATGTCAACAGGAGGACATGGGCTGGAAACAAACCTGATCTTTTGGACTCCTTAATTGCCTGTGGTGTTCATAGGTGGATCCAAGAGTTAAATTCCCCTTTAGATCACCCGAAATAAACCAGCCTCTGTAAACTTTAACATTGAAATGGTCTGGAAGCTGTTGAAAGTTTTGAGTTTTCTTTGGTTAGTGTTTTCACTTGGATAATATTTTAAAATGCACTCCTTGGCTTGGGCTGGTTTTTGCAGATCTCAGTGGTTTTCTTTTTCTTCTCCTTCTCTGAATTTCCAAGTCACTCAGGATATTTCTGTTCAGTCTGTAGGTCCCAGGCTGTTCCCCACGAACTCACAGTTGTTATTTTGTGTCCATACTTGTAAAAATCAGAATGTGACAGTGCAGTCTGCAGCTCACCAGAAGCTGCCCTGACATTCTATTTGCATTCATCCCAGCTGTCTGCTGCCTTTGCACTTTTGCCATGCAGAGCCACAGTCAGAGGGAAGGGATCAGGTTCAGAATTCTTTGAGGGAAATATCTCTGTAGAATTAAACCCCATTCCTTAATGGTGGCTGGTTCTGGTGCAGGAACTTCTTCAGTATTGATTATTGGTCAGAAAATGTGTTTCACATCAGAGTAAAGCTGAATTCTTTCATCACCATTGGGATTTCACTTACCAATGTAAAATAATAAAACTTTCTCAGTAGATTTTTAGTGCAGAGCAGTCCCAGTTCTTCTCTTCACAAAATCTTTATTATTGATCTGATTTGCATCGTGCTGCAACAGGACTCAAAAGTTTCTTTGTAAGAGGAATTTTAAAGAAAATTGCAGTACCTTAAGGTTTTTCAAGTTCACTTGGGGCTGTGAAATTGTGCCTCTGATATTTGAGTGATTGAGTAACAATGCAGCCAAGTAAGGCAGGGGTTCCCTGTGTCACTGTTTGTACTGCAAATCTGGCACAGAGTTTAGTACATTTTTTATCTTCTGCTGATAATTTTTTATTCCTGACCTATTTAATTATATATTTTGTCTTTTCAAACTTAAAAAGTTGTAAATCACATCAGTGCATTTCTTTTTAATGCTTTCCTTTTCCTAATTAATCTTTCTTCTACCTTTCTCATCCCCAGGGTCAATTAAGTGAGAGCATGGACCATGGAGGAGTTGGCCAATATGACCTGTAAGTTGCTGCTAGAAAATATTCTGTACCATTCATGCCCACCACAAATAACTTCTAATTTTGTTACATCGTTAAGCTAAATCGAAAATTTTATCATTCTGGTTCCATTTTGAGTCGTTTTTAGATGTTTCACTATTTCCTCACGTTAAAATTTGTCAATTGTATCTTGAAATAAAGTAATAATAATAAAAAGAATTCTGGTGAAAGCTGCTGTTTGTCTTTTGATCCTTGTTTCTCCTAACAAATCTCTTGCCTGTGAATAATATTTGGATATAACGATATAATATGGATATAACGATAAAAAGAAATATCTGAGTTTTTCATCCTTTAACTTAATTCTGGCGTAATGCAGATGTATTGTGGATTAAATTGAAGGGGTTTGAAGGAAATCTTGCTCTGTAGTTCCCCAAAATCTGCAGGCAGCCCTCTCAGTACAGGGTGCACTTTGCACACAATAAACAATAATTCCTGCAGATCTCTGTCGCTGTTACTCAGACTCTTCCAGGCAGTCAGTGCTTTCATTTGCTCACTCCTCAGTCCCAGACAGGCTCACAGCCTCTTTCTGCTTTTCTGCAGAGGGATGGAGCATTGTGAGAAGTTTGAGATTTCAGAGACCAGCGTGAACAGAGGCCCTGAGAAGATCCGGCCCGAGTGCTTCGAGCTGCTGCGCGTGCTGGGCAAGGGCGGCTACGGCAAGGTCAGAGCCCTGGCACTGAGCCCTGCCCCCCTCAGTGCCCCCTTGCTTTGCTCTCCTTCCCCCCTCTCTGAAAAGCCCATTCTGCCAGAGGGGGAATGGGGCAGAGCCACCCCAGCTGCCAGGGTGGGCACTGAGGTCCCTGGCAGGGCTGGAGCAGCAGGGAATGTCCCAGAGGCATCTGCATCCAGCCTCTGCCTCCTGCCTCCTGGTTTGGGGGTGATCTCCTCTCTGTCTGCCCCTTGACTCATTATTTGGGAGTGATCTCCTCTCTCTCTGCCTCTTGCATTGTAGTTTGTGGGTGATCTCTCTCTTTTTCTCTTGTCTCATTGTTTGTGGGTGATCTCCTCTCTCTCTGCCTCTTGCCTCATATTTTGTGGGTGATCTCTCTCTGTGCCTCTTGCCTTGTAGTTTTGGCTGATCTCCT